AATCGCTTGATTTATTTAGTTTGCAAAGTGCCTCTGCAGGACTTCCCCAGGCCCCCCGCCCCCGCCCCACCGCCTCCACGTTGCACCGGGACTGCAGGGGCAACTGCGAGTCACCCCCACCTCTGCCCCTTCCCCCCCGCACTTTCCCCCGAGGCCCCTCGGCGTGGTCCCGGGCGAGGTAGCGTCTGTCTCGGGAGCGTGTAGGGCTTTGCAAACAGTGTCTGTGCAATAAAGTGAAACCTGGAGGGACAGGCACAAAGCCAGTGGAAAGAAAGAGGAAGGAGGAGGGAAGTTGGGGAAAGAAAGAAACCCGGGGGTCCGGGACAGCCTCCAGGCCGGCGGGTAACGAATTCCTCTGCTGCTCTGTCTTGCAGGTTGGCTGCCTGGCGGGTCGGTGAGGGCGCGAAGTAGATGGTGAGCAGTCCCGGCAGCTGAGGGCAGGTAAGGAGGAAGCCGCGGGGCCGCCCTGGGCTCTGAAAACACGCGGGGTGCTCTCGCCTCCCCCTCTTCGGACGGGCCCCCGCTTCCCAGGTCCCGGCATCCGCCGCGGCCCCGCGCCCCCGCCTCCTCCGAAGAAACCGAGCTGAAGTGCTAAGTTTGAAGAAAGTCTTTGAAACTCACGCCGCAGCCTAGCAAAGTCCTCGTGGCCCAGGAGCCCCGGCTGTTTCCTTTTCATCCCCTTCCCTGCAAATTGGGTTCCCCAGCGCAGGCCGCGGGTCCCCAAGGACAGGAGCGGGAGGCTTGTTTGGCTCCAACTTCTTACCCTGGAACTCCCTAGCGCGGCTCCCAGGCCTGCGTGGAGTTACCGAAAAGCTCGGAGAAGCGACAGGTCCTCTAGGGCCCTGATCCACGCCAGTTCCTGACCCCCGAGAGCGGTGCCTCCGGTTCGGGGCAACTGGGGAAGCCAAGCTTCGACCCTCCAGCCCGGGTCAGCGCGAGCGACGCCGCCGAGGCCTAGTTCTCCGGCGCGGACAGGGTGCTGGGGCCGCGGGCTCAGCTGGTAGGGTAGGCAGAGAGCGCACGGGACCTGATGCCCTCAAACCTCCCAAATCTGCCAGATCCTTTGGGGCACAGTCCCCGCCCCGACCCCACTGTCCACACCAGGACCCGGTAGAAAGAAGGACCGCTTGAGTTGGTGAAGAAAGGCCTGCGGCTCCGACGAGGCACCCCTAACCTGGGGCCGTGTCTTAGACCCGCCGAGGCCACAGTGGCCCCTTCTGCGTCTTCTGGCCGGCTGGGGGGGACCTGGGTCAGTAACCGCGATTGGGGTGCAGTGGAATTTCGGGGGAGCAATTTTTCAGCGGCGAAGCACAGAGAGGCCAGCTGGAGGGGTGGCTGTGGGCTCTGGGGCCCGCACCAGCCGCTGAGTCCTTTGGAGAAGCGCATTCTCCTCCGTGCGCCTCGCGTCTGGGAGAGGCCCAGGTGCTGCTAGCGCCTCACCTTGGTTCTCTGTAATCTCTATCTTTTAGTCTCGCCTCCTAAAACATTTCAAACAGAATGAAACAACCCCTCATCCTCTGGGCGCCTGCAGCGGGGCCCAGTGCGCATTTGCTGTGCCATGTGGGGCCGGCTCTCCCCCGGCTAGAATTTTGCCTACACTTGGGACTTCGCACACCCCGCGGTCAGACTCCGACCTCCCAGCGTAGTCCAGCTTTTAAATTCTCCTCACTCCTAGCGATGCCCTACGAGTCTTTGGCCCATTTCAAGCACGAAAAGAGGTGACGCCAATCCAGAAAAGTTTGCTTTTTGAGGAAGTCTTGGTCTTTGGACTAAGGCCTTGTAGAGCCGAATTGACCGCCCCGCGCAGTCCACAGCCTGTGTGCCCTCCCCACCCCGTGGCTCCTTGCCTCTGACAAGACCAGGAAGCCGAGATGGCTACAAATGACTCTTCCCTTGTGTCTCCTGTCTCCACAGGCCGAGCCCCAAGACCCAACAGAGCTTGAAGGACTGCGCGGTGGTAGCCCCGCATTGCGCCTGGCCCCCTGGATCCGTCGGGGCGCCTTCACCCGGCTGTTAGCATGATGTCTTACCTCAAACAACCCCCATATGGCATGAACGGGCTGGGCCTGGCTGGGCCCGCCATGGACCTCCTGCACCCCTCCGTGGGCTATCCGGGTGAGCACCAGCCCCCACCCACCCCCAGTTCCTGCAAATCTTGGGGACCCCCAGCCTCTTGGGTTTGAGCACACACTTTGTTGCTGAGCCGGTCCAGGGAGCCGGTTGCCTGGTCTGTTTGTAATGCAGGGGCACGCTGCAGGTCGGTGAGGTGGGCCAGGGCAGTGGAAACAGGGCAACGTGTACATGGGGCGGGGCCCTACCGCCACCTGTCTCCTGTCTGGCCCCACCACCTGCATCCCGATTCGTTTCCCCTGGGTGGCTTTTTTTGGTGTGTGCATGTGTGAATCTCTTCCTTTCCTCCCCGACATTGAATGAGGAATCTAGACACTCGCCATGCCCTGACAGGAGGAGCAGAGCTGTCCTTCCAGGAAGCAACTGGCTGCGCTGAGAAAGGGGATTCTCTCTCCCTAAATTGTCCTCCAGACAGTTGTCTGCACCAACTGTGGAAGGCTTGAGCCGGATTCTGGCTTTCTTTTCTAGCTCCCACTCTTTCGCTCCCATTTATTCCCTCGAAAAGTGTTTTCCAGGTGGTGTCTCTGCACCCCTTCCCCAACCTCCAGCCAGGGAGTTTGTTGGTGTGTGTGTGTGTGTGTGTGTGTGTGTGTGTGTGTGTAAGAAGGGAGACTGCATAATTTCTCTTCCTTTCTTAACCTCTGAGAGTTAGGGAAGGGGGCAGCCTCGGAGCCTTGGAGAGAGTGGCTCATGGTCACACACATGCACTTCCTACCACCTGTGGCCTCTCTGGCTCGGCCTCTTTTGCTGGGAGCTCGGCTTCCTTTTACGATGTCTTCGCTCAGGGCCTGCCAGGGGCCTGTCCGCGTCCTCTGGCGCGGGTCCTCGCGGCCCCCGCTGACCCGAGGCGCCTCCGCGTGTCCCCTCAGCCACTCCACGGAAGCAGCGGCGGGAGCGCACCACTTTCACGCGCTCGCAGCTGGACGTGCTCGAGGCGCTCTTCGCCAAGACTCGCTACCCTGACATTTTCATGCGCGAGGAGGTGGCGCTCAAGATCAACCTGCCGGAGTCCAGAGTCCAGGTGCGCACGCGGGCGCTCCAGGTCAGGATAGGGGTGCTGGGCCTGGTGGTGGAGGGCTTGGGGTCTGGTTTTGGGGCGGGCTTACAGACTGGGCGGCCCCTCCCAGACCCCCACCCCCTACCCCCACTCTGGTCCTGAGCCTGAAAGAGGGGACAGAGTTAAAGGAACTAGCTTAGAGCCCTGGATTCGGCCCTTGGCCCCAGGGCGCTTTGGGTATCAAAGGTCCTTTTTAGGATTGCGGGAGAACAAAGAGGCTCCGAAGGTAAAGTGCCCTGAGGGTCCCACACTTGCCCCAATTCCTTCAGGGTCCTGAATTCTGCCTCGCCCTGGCCTTGCAATCCGGGAATCCTGACAGTAGAAGAGTGGTGCTTGGCTGGAGTCTGGTGCCCTATCTGGGAGTTGGCTCCGCGGGTAGTGCCAGTTTAATCAGACGCTTCCTTTGCCACAAGAAGATGCCGAATGCAAAACCGGGCTCTGGGCTTTGCGATGAAAGAGCCCCGAAAAAAAATATTGTTTGGATTATAACTCAGAACTCTCCTCGGGAGCCTTTTATCGCGCCTTCTTTTCTCGGAGTCTCGAGAAAGTACCAGGAATGCAATGCCAAGTTCCAGGGCCTTCCAAGATGAGTGAGAGCTTCCCGACTGACTGTACTATTAGGTTCCCCACTCGGAGCCAAGAAGCCCAAAGACACTGCCGAGGCTTCCTTCCCTAGTCTCCCAGTACTGCCTCTGTTCAGCTTCCTCATTTTGCTCCTACTCTCACCCCAATTCTCGCCCTGCCCACCCCGGGCCTCCTGCCGGCCCACTGGCTCAGACCTCACACTTGGTGACTGTCCCACACTTCCCGGCCTGCTCCGTGCCTCTCCGCTGTTTCCTGCGCTCTAGCCCTAGAAGACAGGGCCTCCCAACGTACACGGGCTGCTGGGAACAGACCACAGCAGCAGTTTAGAGATGGCTGGACTTGTGACTGGACCCACGCAGATGCTCCACCCTAGGGCAGAGTTGCTCCGGGGGTGCGGGGGTGGGGGATGTGTCCACATCCCTACTTGGCCAGAGGAGGGTCTTTGAGCCGTAGGATGGGGGCGGGCGGAGGAGCTGGGAAGGCTGGGGCTGGGGCAGGGGCTGGCCGGGCTAGAGATGGGGAGGGGCAGAGGCCTCGGTAGGAGTTCGAGGCGTGATCCTAGGCGGGGTGGTGGGCCCCAGGGGCGGGGAGCAGCAAGCTCTACTCGCCTACTGACACACTCTCCCCGACCGGCCCGCTGCAGGTCTGGTTCAAGAACCGTCGTGCCAAATGCCGCCAGCAGCAGCAGAGCGGGAGCGGGACAAAGAACCGCCCGGCCAAGAAGAAGTCGTCCCCGGTGCGTGAGAGCTCGGGCTCCGAAAGCAGCGGCCAGTTCACGCCGCCCGCTGTGTCCAGCTCCGCCTCGTCCTCGAGCTCGGCTTCCAGCGCTAACGCCTCGTGTATGCAGCGCTCGGTAGCGGCCGGCGCGGCCTCGGCTGCAGCCTCCTATCCCATGTCCTACGGCCAGGGCGGCAGCTCTGGCCAGGGCTACCCCGCGCCCTCCTCCTCCTACTTCGGCGGTGTGGACTGCAGCTCCTACCTGGCGCCCATGCACTCGCACCACCACCCGCACCAGCTCAGCCCCATGGCACCATCCTCCATGGCGGGCCACCATCACCACCATCCCCACGCACACCACCCCTTGAGCCAGTCCTCCGGCCACCACCACCACCACCATCACCACCACCACCAGGGCTATGGCAGCTCAGGGCTCGCCTTCAACTCTGCCGACTGCTTGGATTACAAGGAGCCTGGCGCCACCGCAGCTTCCTCTGCTTGGAAACTCAACTTCAACTCGCCCGACTGTCTGGACTATAAAGACCAAGCCTCGTGGCGGTTCCAGGTATTGTGAGCCCAGGAGTGGGAGAGGAGGAAGAGAAACGAAACTACCTACGCTCCCTGAGGCCCCCGTCCTGTTGCTGCTGCTGCACCCGCCTTT